CTGTCTTTCATCAAGGGATTGCACTCTGCTCACCCCCAGTCTCCTCTGGCATGAGTCCCCGGTTGGCCCTGTCCCTTTGGCAGAAAATTGTACTGGGAAATACGTTTGTTCATGCCTCAGATCTGTGTGAAGTACAGTGACTCAGTTGTAATAACTACAGTGTGAAGAGTATTGGGAAACATAGGAGAAATACTGATTCATAGTGTGATTCGGTTTTCGTTTTGTGTTTCTGTTGTAGTTCGAGATCGAGTTCGAACAAAAATGGAGCGTGATATCCTAGTTGAAGTTAATCATCCTTTTATTGTCAAGCTACATTATGGTGAGTTGCAAAACTATGCCGTTTTATATCTGAGTAAAGTGTCCTTGTCAAGACAGTGCCTGGCACTCACTTAGTGGTTCAGAGAATCATAGAAATTAGTGTCCTATCTAAGTCCTGATCTTACAGAGCCCTACTGTGAGTAATTCCCTTGCAATATATTCATGTGGCTAACATCATGCTCAGGAGTATGTCTGTAGGATTGAGTCTGTAGCCTTTTGGTCTATTAAAAGGACAGTTATCTATTCATATCTAGCCATTTTGTTCTAAAATGTCCTATTTTCTCTCTATATATTTCACTTTTTAAAATGATTTCTTATCCTTAAATTGCTCCATGGACAGCAGCCTATACAATGGCATTACTTTCAGTTACATCAAAGCTGGGTATATGCCTTTTAATTTCAATGGTATTGGCAACCATAAAAATTTGATCATTAGGGCAGAAATGAAATTATTCTTAACATGTCAAGCAGAAAGGAAACTGAAAAAAGAGAACCTTATTTTACCAAATCAACGTAAAGTTCCTGTGAATAACATGACAGAATGTTCAAAACATGAATTCAAAAAGTGAATTTGTTTTCCTTTAAGATCTATTTCTTCCTACTGTTCAGACTTCAGATTTCTGTTTTTCTGAGGTGGCTTATAGAATGTAGCTTTCATTGTTTAATTTTCTCTTTATTGTATTACTGTAATAGATCTCCCTATCAATCTGAGTTTTCACAAGTATTAAAATAAATTAGTTATTTGCCCTTTAAGTCTAGATTTTTTACTACCAAAACATGGAATGAAATTTTGATACGAAAACAAGGGTAAATTGTTTTGACATATTATTCTTTAAAAGTAAAATCAGATGGTGTTAATTTTTTATACTCTTTTCAGCTTTTCAAACAGAAGGAAAACTGTATCTTATTTTGGATTTTCTCAGGGGAGGAGACTTGTTTACACGGTTATCCAAAGAGGTAAAGTTTGAAATTTTTTTTGGTTGTTTTTATTTTAAAAAATAATTTTGAGAAAAATCTAGAGAGTTCTGTTCTACTCATCTGCTACGGATGAGTAGAATGTTACTTGTACTGAAAAACTGAAATGAATTTTCTTAAAATCCACATTTCTTTCTTGGGAAGCAGGGAAGAATTGTGTATTTAGGAAAAAAAAGAAAAAAAAAGGCGTGTCACTTCTCTGCTGATGACACTTTCATCTTGAGCCACTCAAGTTTTATAAGGCTTAATATAGTTAAATAAGAAATGTTCATCATAGGTTTATTCATCTAAGCTACTTACAAACAAGTGGTGGATTGAAATGGGCATGGTGGATACAATTTATGTCATTTTAATATAGGTCAATTCATGTCATCTGAAAACAGATCAGAGGACTGTAGCCTACAAGTTCCCGCTTTATTGCTTTGACTGTAAAAGGGCAAGTCATTAATTCAGAGGTAGATGTCTACCCTGTAGATGTTCCAGTTCCAGTGAAAAGAATTCCACATAATGTTTATTACCATTCCCATGAGATCTTAGATTATATGGGCCTTTAAATCTCAAATCTATTCCCCTTCTTGTACACACCTGTACTAAATATTGGTGCTCTCGTGGGAGGAGCATCAGCAGGTACCTTTTGTACAAGCCTTGATATTACTTCCTCTTTCTAAACTATTAAGGCAAAGATGGATGTTATGTTTTGTTCTTAACCCCTGGCATCACATGCTGTATCATGCAGCAGATCAGGTGGCAGCATTTTTCCCCTAATTCTTGAAACAGTCGAATATTTTCTTTCAGTTGATTGCAGCATTTGTTGATATTTTGGGGTAGTGGACTCACTGCACAGAATCTAGGCAGTGATTAGTTTGCCCTCCTAGCAGAAGGTGTGGGACAGCTGCCTGAGATCTCACCTGTGCTTCTACCTAGGGCCATTTTGTCAGTTCACTCTTTGATCCACCTCTTCTGCGCTTACATCTCAGCCTGTGTCAAGCCCCCCAGAATTTTAGTGCTTCTACAGTGCATCAGTTTTTCTCTTGAACAACCAGAAACAAATATCCTCAGGTGGGCAGAAAGAGTAATATGGGATGATACTGATTTCAGGAGTCATTTTTCAAGCACATACTGTAAACCATATTGATAATGAAGTATTAATTTGTCTAAGCAAGCAATTTCCAGTTTTTCTCAGAATGACTGTGAAGACACCTTCTTCACAACCACTCAGCTGTTCCGTTAGTGCTGATGTGAACCTGACAAGTATGTCACTTTGCTTTTTCAGGTGATGTTCACAGAAGATGATGTTAAATTTTACCTGGCGGAATTAGCACTTGCTTTAGACCATCTACATAGTCTTGGAATAATATACAGGGACCTGAAACCAGAAAAGTAAGAATCCGCAGCAGCAAATGCAATGTATTAATTTGTTTTTATGGCAGTTCTGCTTACGTGCTTCTCTTGCCAGCTGTTAAACTTAGAGAAGTTACTTTGTAAGGTGAACAGGAGAGGGAAACATTTATTGTTTTAAATAAACTATTAGATTTTATTTCTACTAGAGAATGAGATGTACTGAATAGTGATGTACTGAATACTACCTCCCCATTGCTGTGGCTTTAAGTAAAGAGTATACTGGAAGATGTGTACCTTTCACTTTCCATGTGTTATGCAGTGCAGAATGGAGAAATCCGATATGGGCCTTTCGTTTGTTTTGGGGAGGGTGTCCTTAGGTGTTTGTTTCTGACATTATTGTAGAGTTTTTGGACTAAAGAATAAAGTAAGAACAAATGCATGGTACAACGTTATGGCTGAGTTTTTTATTTACACATTTGAAAGCTTAGCAATTTTTTCAAAGCTGATTTTTAAAATATAGTGCAGGGAGAGCAGAAGGGAGTTTGCAGTTTAAAGTAAAATATGAAAAGAGGAAGTCACCTCCTTTTTTTCTTTTTCAAACTATTGATAATGAAGTAATTGCACAAAAAGCTTAGAAAAAAACTTGAAGCTACAGTTCCAGGGTAGTGTTACCCCTAGTAGCATCCCCGCACCTTTCAAATGACTGAGGTCCGTCTCCTCTTTCATTCCGTCATTGAATTTCTCAGGTTTCATAAGACGTAAAAAAGAAAATGTCTTTTCTCACGTCACTAGTCTTATCTGGAACATTCAGGCCTCTCTGATACAGAATGCTCTAGTGTTTATATGTGCTCTAGCATTACTGCTTACCTGGAGAGGTGTCTTAAGTGAAAATATGACGTGTGCATCTGCTTAGATAGTTAATGTACTGTGCCTTATTGCCAGGAAATCTGTAGTTATTCTGTAGCCCCGATGTCTTTGGAGATCCCAATTCTCTATTATGCCTATACAGAGAAGCTGAAAAGTCTATGAAATACCTGTCTCATGTAAAGTATTGGTGGGAAGAGCAAGCAGGAGTAAGAAAAATCAGAAGCTGACTTGCATGGAGCTTCAACTAGGATAGACAGAGAAGCTGAAAAGTCTATGAAATATCTGTCTCATGTAAAGCATTGGTGGGAAGGGCAAGCAGGAGTAAGAAAAATCAGAGAAGCTGACTTGCATGGAGTTTCAACTAGGATATCTTTTGTGCTTCTCCAGAAAAACATGGACACAAACTTTAAAGTTTAGGGCTCTCAAACTTAAAGTTTAGGGCTATGTGACAGGAAGGGGCAAGATTCATGTCCAAATGGGCAACTTAGCTCTTTAGGGGTTGGGTGGGAGTTGCACCTAATCTGAGGGGGAAAAATTATTTTTTTCGTTTCTTTTCGTGTCTGATGTCCCAAACATAATTGGAGCATAACTTCAGGTATTTAATACGTAATATTCTGTGTTGTCTATGATAGTATTGTCAGATATATGCTATCTCCCTTGGTTATCTACAGACAAACAGGAAAATTAATAACCTTTAAGCCTTTTAAGTGTTCTATTAACAAATTATGAATTGAAGAAAATGAGATTACCAAATTAAAAAAAAATGCAAAGCAAGAAAACTTCGGTAATATTGCGCACATTAGCAAAGAAAAAGATGAAGTAGTAGTTTTCAAAGGACTAAATAGCTCGTGCCTCCGACACTCTTTTTTAGCTTGTTTATGTCCATACCTGTCAAAACCTTGGCTTTAAGCCTTGCATGCCTCTGAATCAGCATCTTTTCAAAGTGGCTTTTCAAAGGATGAAAATTTTTGCAATGAGATGATGGTAACTCCCACAGGCTGTGTCTGTACTGTGGAGCTAAGTTTCCCAACTTGGAAGCGGGAAGGAGGAAAAGGGAAGGGCAGGGAGTGGGCAAGTGTCTGGGTCTTATCGCAAACGCAGCTCTCAAGAGAAGCTGAAGTAGCCACAAGGTCTGCAGTGTAGGTGTTGTCACAGTTCTGCATTTTGAACGCTCTGAGTTGTCACTGCGTGGGCTGATTGTCAAGGATAGTTGGTGTCTGGGAGGTGTGTGGCTTTTTTGTGGTTGCATAAACATAGATGGAAGAAGGCCTGTGTTAAGTATAGGACCTAGTGTCCTATGCTTTGATGCAAAAAACAAGATGGGGTTCATTACGTGATGATATTTGTTTGGAGATCAGCACCCTTTTGAAACCCTGAATACAAATGAATACACAATCTCTGTGTAGGCAAACATATGTTGTATTAGCTGTTACAGCTTTCTTACTCAGCATAAGAGAAATAAGAATATATTCCTATTTTTAACAATATTATGATAATGACATATGCTGCAGGTGCCTAAAAATGAAAGTTCAAGATAAAAGCTCTTGCCTGCCACACTGAATATAAGCAAGTAATTAAAAAAAAATTGACAGGCTGATTCAGTTTTATATTCTTGAATATGAAAGAAACAAAGGAAAACAAAATATGTATGTTCAGATTATCTCCTCCTAGTGTTACATTTCCATGCATGTTCATTTTTACATGTCTTTGTGTTCTTTTTCTGTTCTTTTTTGTTCTTAAACTTTATCAGTACATTTTCCAAAATAACAATTAAGATACTTAATTAGCTTATTCTATTCCTTTGTTTTTTAGCATACTGCTTGATGAAGAAGGACATATCAAATTGACAGGTGAATAAAGGAAATTTGCAACAACTGGAACTTTTCTGTTCATAAAATCTCTGAATTTTCTCTTTCAGAGAAATGCAGTAAAATTTTTAATTTTAAGTAACAAGTAGTTTTGTGGAGTACATAGTGTTAATGGTGAATAAATGAAATATATTAACTTTTAAATAAGATACCTGATTTAAACACGCAGGTGTTGCGATGGATCTTTAATCATTGGGTGAGGAAATCTGATTTACGTATATACATTTTGCTGTACACATGAATGGTAAAAGGGTTGCATTTTACATTATGCTGAGAGCATGAATGATTGTATATACATACATATTGCATATATGCACACATACATGCATAAATACATACACACACACATGCATAAATACATACACATATTGATAGTTAGTATTCCAAACCTTTTTTTTTTTTCCCTTCCAGATTTTGCTTAAGCAAAGAGTCAATTGATCATGAAAAAAAAGCCTACTCTTTCTGTGGGACAGTGGAATATATGGCACCAGAAGTTGTTAATCGACGAGGCCATACACAGAGTGCGGACTGGTGGTCTTTTGGTGTTTTAATGGTAGGTTTCTGGTAAATGTAAATGATGCCAAAACTCTGCTGAGTGAGATTTGCTGAAACGAGTGAAACATTAAATTTTAGGGTGAGCTTTAAGTAAATTCTAACTAACATTAAAAAATCCAAATCGCATGAAATTAATCAACAGCACTGCAGAATTTGGATCGAGATGTGGCCTATGTCTCATTTCAGCATCAATAATATGCTGTTTGAGTGAAATATTGCATATCTGTTGTTGCTGAACATTAGAGAGCCTAACAAGAACAGATAAGTATAAGGAGAAAAGGGAGAATAAAACCTTGGTTTGATTTTTTTTTTTTTTTCAAAAAAAAAATCTAATTGCATTCTCCACTGTAATTACAAGATAGGGGGATAATGGCAGCTATTGCTTTGCACATCTCAAAATACTCTGAGCTGATGTGGGATAAGTCTCTATGAGCTTTCTGCAAGGAGCTAACTTGTGTTGCAGGGTCAGGTGTGTATTGCATAGCAAATACAGATCTGAAATAGAAAAATAGATCATGTGTGGTGTTTTAGGAATGCTGAATGGCATCTAGTATTTATGTGTGTTTTTGATAGTAAGATTAAATAATTATATATTTGAAAGGAAATGTTTTTGTTCCTTACCGCTTCTGTAGCACCTATATAAATATAACAGTACAACTAATATGTGGGCTTTGTAGTATGAGGACTCCTCTGTCTAAAACTAAGCTATCCTCTCATCTGTTCATCATTTAGAGTGCTGATGTGATCTGAAAGCTGACTGTGAAAAAGTAAAAAGTAGCACCTGTAACTAAACTTTGTCCAGACAGACACATGCACACCCTCACAACTGCACATTTTATCGATGAGAACACGTTCTGGCGTTGCTGTTAACTTTGAGCAGCCCATGTGTCAATTACATAATGGCAGGTTTGCTGCAGGCTATTTGGTGCTTATTACACAAGCGTAGTTTAAAAAGTTCAGCTTTAGTTTATAGATTTGGAAAAGAAAAATTTGTACTTACAAGGAACTTATGTTAAAACGAAAAACTGATTAAAGGTATTGGATGTGACCGGTGTAACTTCCACAGTCTGTGTGCTGCATTTAAAATACTTCTGCTTTTGTTTTGCATTTTGAGAAGATGGCCTTTAGTTAAAATCTCTGAATCAGTATATGGAATACAGTGTTGTTTTCTCTAAGACATGTTTTCATTGCCACATGCTAATTGTCATAGATCTCAAGTCCTTCGTAAATGCAGTCTCTGATTGTGAAGAATTCAAGTCGTTTTACTTGTTATCTGAAATTGAACAGAAATTATAGCATAGAAATTAAAGCTATGCGATATCTTAATAAATCATTTGGCCCTTTCTCTAATAGTGTTACATATTAAGTGTATTTAAGCTGTCTTTGAGAGGTATAACCCTGTTGCTCTTTAAAAGAGTGAATGGTTTAAGGGATGCTGGACATTTAAAAACATCATTTTAAAGTTTTAAGAAGCATTAATATTTGTTGAATGATTTCCTGATTAAATTTAAAATGACAATTGGGTAAAGCTAGTTTTGAGAGTCTTAAAGTACTATTGGCATTATGGATGGGACTATGGCGTTTTGAGGAGGAGGACAAAGAATATATATGCTGAATAGTTTATACAAGAAATACTTAGTTTTATCTGGATTTTGGTGCATATATCTGTGATGAATAGGAACTTGCTAAAGAAATTTTATTGCTAATCTACAAAATTTTGAGTAAGCAAATGAGAAACAAGCAAGACCACCAACTTACCTTTTTAAGAAAAATATTTTTTTGACAAGTGTGCTTTATGAAACTCTTATAAATTACAAACAAAAATACTGAATTATTTGATAGTTGTGGTTTAGGCCTCAATTCAGCATGTTTTTGATAACTATGGTAAGACCTATTACAGTTAAAAATAACATTTTTTCATAATGGTATAATACTATTTTTAATATTAATATTTAATGTACAAAACCAAAGCATCTCGTAATAGTGCAGAATTTGCAACTCTTTGAATATAGGATAGTAAGAAATTTAATAATTAACTTTCTTAGAAAGATTTCTTAATGAGTGCCATTCATGCAACTTCATGCTCTTATTTTAAATCTAAAAGTACTACTGTTGCTCATTATTTGCTCAAGTTATCTATATACGTTTCTAATGCTTAGGCTGAGCACTTTGGTCATATGGAAAAATCAGGAATCCAAGATACATTGGGCAAAGGATGACGTAAGCTGGTCAGACTGTAGCTTTATGATTATTTTAATTTTGAAAGCTTTGAATGTTTGCCATGCTATTTCATATAAATGTTTTAAAATTAAATTATGCTGCAATTTTTAAACCAAAAATAAGAACTCCTGCCTTGACCGAATTCTGGCTGCAGTGACCACTGCTAGGGGGCTTTCAGCCCCTGAGTTGGCCCTGTTATCTCTGCTCTATGCAGCAGCCCAGCAGAAGTGTCTTTATACTTATCTATATTTTTACCCTGTCGCTTTCAGAACAGATCAGTATTTTAAGTGTCCTTTGCCAACTACCAGCCACTGTGTAATGTGCATGTTTGTGCATCTTGTATGTTTTGTCAGCCTTTATTTTCATTGTACGTGTCATCACCTTTCATCGTGCACGTCTCTGTCAATCAGCTAACCTTTTTCCTTGCCCATAAAAGGCTATGTATGTGCCTTTTAAAAAAATATATATCTTTTTTATATATCTCTGCATGAAGAGAAGTTACCACTAATTTTTGAAAGGGGGATCTTTTTTCTCTACTGCCAACATCTAGAAAACGGAAGTACAGATGTATAACTCAAATTTTCCAACTGGTTTCTGATGAGGCAGAAAAGAAGAACAGAAAATTATAGTCCACACTGTTCAGATAAAAGTGTGTAAGGCAAGGTTTTAACATAGGAAAATATTTTGCAGCTTTAAAAATGGCAGAGGCTGCTGGTTACTCATAGGCATTTAAGTCTGTACAGTGAGAAGTTGTTTTTCATACATGTGGTTGTTAACATGCATGAATTTTGGAAGGTTAAAATGCTAAGTATTGTCAAAAACTAGATTTTGTTCAGGTAATGTAATTGATGAAAGTTTTACTCTATACAGTTTGAAATGCTCACTGGTACTCTACCTTTCCAAGGGAAAGACAGAAAAGAAACCATGACTATGATTCTCAAGTGAGTACACTCTTATTTATATATCTCATCAGGTATTCTACAGGGATGCCCTCCGGGCTGCAATATCTAATTTCTACTCTTCCCTCATTTCCAAAGGTACTGGTAAATCCTCACTCCCTACTCCATACTACTAATTCTGTTTATTTCCCTTTATCACTTACCTAATTTGCCTTACTACTCCTTTCCCATACCAGGTACAAAGTATTTCATAGCAACTGTTTAATCTGTAATAATTTTTATAGACGTGTGATCTTTTCCATCTTATTTCCATAATATTTTTAACTTTCTTACCCTTTTTGGTACCCTATACATTTTTTCATGGTTGTTTTTAAGGTTTTTTTCATTTGTTTCGGTGGATTTTTTGGGATGTATTTTCTTTCCTTATCCTTCTCTTTCTTTATCAGTTCTACACTCAACTTCATATGATTGCTGTTGCCAACAGCTTGCTTCCTTGATACCTCCCCTGTTTGCTACAGTGCATCCTCTCTTAAGGACTCTGCTGTGACTTGCTGTAGCTCCAATTTTTCCCTTTACTATTTCCAGTGTAGTTTTTGTTTTAGCTATATTGTGGAAATTGCTTTCCTTCATGCAGTTAACGTTCTTGCTAATGAAGGCCTCTGTTTTTTTTCTCCTTCATGTTCCCTCTATTTTCTTTGAACTACAGACAGTGACATTATATTCGTCCCACTTTCAGGACTATAGCCTAACTGTGCAAACATCTCTGTTTCCTCATGTCAGAATTTCACTTGTGTATCCAAAACATTTTATACTATTACTATTTTTTCCCATGGTTGTTCATAAGACTATTTTTGATTTCTCATTTGTTTTCACTTCACTGTTCATCTGTCTTACCTACCATTTGTCTACCTATATATGAAGGATAACATTACTTTTGCACCAATGGCCTGTTTTGAAAAGTAAATATATGAAATTCGTTCTGATTTTTTTGAAGTAATTTGATGTGAAGACTGTTAGAAAACATAAACCCATTTCTTTCCCTTGCTTTTGTTTTTATAACGCATGCACATTATGTTATTCTCAGCCTTCATTTTTCTTCTTCATCTTATATCTGCAAATGTACATAGTAGTACTAATTTCTACTCCTGCCTCAAGACCATTCCAGCTGAAATCTGTGGTTATGTTGTGATTGTTTGCCTCAGGAATTAAAAAGGTTCTGTCTATTCACAGCAGGGGTAAATGCTTCTGCCCACCTCCCATTCGCGAGAAGCAAGTCCAAGATAGTTGTGCTGTGCTCTCCCTTCCTTCAGGAGCTGTGTCTTTTCTAGCCATGTCCCACAAGTCCCATCCTTGTCTTTGCCGTCAATATCTGACTCCACTCTGCTCCCCAGCAGCCCTTCCATGTTGTACAAGAGTTTTCTGTGTTCAGCTGCCACACAGAATTCCCTCCTGGTATCTCTCCCGTTAACTGACATTCATAACTGCTTTCAGATTTCATCTGCATTAGGAATTCTTGCTTTTCTCACCTACTGGTCTCTGTAATCGGATTCTTTATTTTGGAAAGTTGTACAAAAACAAGTGGTACAAATTAAAAGAAGTAGAAGAAATTTTACTCCTGTTTCATTATTCTGCATATTTCCAGTCAATATATAACTATAAATCTATTTTGCGCTTAGCCTGGCAGCTTGGAACCAAAACTCAATTTTAAACTTTTTAACTCTTTCTGATAAGTCCTTTTTTTTTTCTTTTTTTTTCCTGGCTTTGTAAGAATTACTGAATGGCAGTATGTTTTCTGTTTTCATTATACTAACAAATTTGCTATCTTCTTAAATTATTCTTAAAACCATTTGCAGAAACTATTTGGAGATGCGTACTTATTGAATTAGCGTACAATTTAAGATATACTGCTGTTCTTTCTGATAATCCACAGAAGTGCACTCTTCCTATCGCACGTTTTTCTGGACAAAAAATTTCTCACAATATCACCACAATATCACCACAAAAAGTTTCTACTGGTTATCTTATGTTTTACCTATAATTGAGAAATAATTTGAAGAAATCATAATTTGCAACCAAAAGGTTACCTTTTTGAAGTATCTTTTCTCCTATACAGAAAAGGTATGACTTTAATATAACATTTTTTGCCTTCATCCATCAGAAATGTCAGAATAAACTTGCTGTCAGTCATGTAGACATGTAACCTTGGGACTCACAGGACATAGTGATCGCTTTTTCTTCTATGCAGAGTGGCTGTTAAAGTGTTTTCAGAAAGGTGCTGCTCCTTGACAGAAGTAAGAGGTGACAGTCCTAGCCTGTGATTTACAGAAGGCTTCTCTCTCACTCCAGTGTGGACAGGCAGTGCCTGTCCTCTAGAATGTCTTCTAGGTATTCTACTTCTGTTGAGCTGCTTCTCCATGAGATTAACTGCAGTTGTGTTTCTGGATTGTTCTTTAATTGTGGTCAACCTCCCCTGCCACACCTCCAGCTGCTTCCTGTAACTCTGGAGCTTATAGCAATTGGGCAAAGATTTCCACCTGCCCCAGAACAGTCCCATCGGCTTTAGTTGTCTGTTCTCAGTACTTCAGTATCTCTGTTCTGCAGTTAGCAGAACTGTGCTTTTGCAGGCCCCGTGCTCCTGGCTTCCTTCTCACCTTAGAGTCTGGGCTACTTTGCTGTGAGGAGAAGTGACATCAAGTGAGACTGTGATGGAACCGCTCAATCTGAAGGCAGCCGTGACTGCTCGCGTGCCAGGCGGGGAGCTGCTACTTGGGCCTGTAGTGTGTTGCAGAAGAGGCCAAGGAGAGGAGAGTGGTTTTTTCCAACTTCTTTCTTGCAAGGGGAATGGAAGATTTCGTAAACTGCGTGTGCTGTAAGTGATGAGCAAGGGATTGATAGCAGTATGTGTGCACATGCTGCAGTGACAAGGAGGAAGACATCCATAAAAAGTGAAGTGCAAGGCAAGTGATTTCTTCTGCCCTAGGTTGTGCAGATGAATACAGGATACTTTAGAGTGGAACTAGGATACAGGTTGAGTAAGAGGTGGAAAGGAGGAAATTTGATTCATCCTGAACTATCTAATGGTCACAATGATAATAAAAAAAGTGAGTCCTAGCAACAGTGAGACGGTTGCTTAGATTAGAGACAAAACATTAAGTGGGGAGGAGAAAAAATGGGACAGTGGTTTCAAAACAAAGTGAAATGACTGAAGTACAAAATCTAAAAGGGACAGGTTTCAAGGTAAGATTTGAAATGAAAGCGGGGGAAATTAACAGAGAGGAAGGATTTTTTTTCTCTTTTTTTGAATGATAATCTTCAAAATCTGTCCTATCTGAATACTCTTTGTATCTTCTAGTTTAGATTTCCGATTGTATTACCTGGGTGGTCTGTGGAAAAGGTCATACTATGGTAGTTTTCTTACCCCTTCTAAAATGTCATTTGTTTTTGGTCATTTGGTCAAATGTCATTTGTGATTTTGGAAATAAGCACACCTAAAAATTGATCAAATTAGATGAAAGATCTACAAAATTGTGAACTTTTATCCAGTGTCTATTCTCTTTTGTCTTTTCTTAAAACATTATTCTTCACTTATGTTCCTGTGTCAGTACTGAAAATAGATTGTTGGAAATTACACGTCTACCTGAGTGACAGTACTTTTGCTCTGTCTCTGATGTCTGAAGCCAATATCTTGGTAGCATTATTTTGCTCAAAATGAATGTGTTGAATGACATAGTGGAGGGGGGAGGTGCAAAGTTAATTCTTACCTTAATATGCTTGTATGTTATTAATTATTTTTGTTGTATAGGGCCAAACTTGGAATGCCCCAGTTTTTGAGTCCTGAAGCACAGAGTCTTCTCAGAATGCTCTTCAAAAGAAACCCAGCAAACAGATTAGGTGAAGTGTTTAATGGAATATTTTAAATTGGCTGGCTTTGAATTGTAAAGTGGATCAAATAAATGATCATTAGAATGACTAAGTTTAGTTTCAAGTATAAAATAGGCTCTGTAGCAAGATCATATTTTGTCTATTTACTGTTTTTTCTGATGAACAGCAAAATTTTGCATCATTTTTGCTATTCTTGTTTCAAAAACTAATGCAGTAAAAATAAGAAATAAAAATATCCAGCTAGGCCATCTTCTGACCAAGAAGAATATAATTCATAGCCATTTTTCTTCCTTATAAAAGGAGCGGGTCCAGATGGAGTTGAAGAAATTAAGAGACATCCATTTTTTTCAAAAATAGACTGGAATGTAAGTATTCAATTCAAAAATACTTTAATGAATTTCAAGTAAAATAGCTTTTGGCAGTAGAGCCTAACATTTTAATCCGCTCTGGTCTGTAATTTCTCCTCAGAAATTGTACAGGAGAGAAATTCATCCCCCTTTTAAACCTGCAACTGGCAGACCTGAAGATACATTTTATTTTGATCCTGAGTTTACAGCAAAAACTCCAAAAGGTAAAAATAAAATAAAATAAATAAAATAAGTAAATATTAAAAAAAAAAAGAATTTACCTATTCAAAAATTAGAAACACTGCTAAACTTCATGAAAAGTCTTCTCCTAGTTGTTGCTAGACTAAATAAATGCTCAAAGGCTAGTTTCAGTTGTTCATAAAGTTTTTTGCGGTCTTTGGCATAAATATATCAGAGGGACAACTGAGTTGTATAATATAAAAAGTAGAAAGTTGTCCTCAGCCAGAAAGCATACATATAAGTAAAACTGAACATATATAAGTAATCTCATTCTTTCAGTTAATAGGATTTTGCATGTCTGTCTGTCTCCAAAGTGTGTCCTATGGCTTCATTTCACTCATGGTGGTGACTACATGATATGCATATATAGAAACCCAGTCATTTCAGACTTTGGATGGTAAAGCTGGTGTTTCAGTGCTATCAGTATAGCATAGTATTACTCTGATCTATGCAATATCAGGTAGAAAATTTTGTCTTCACTAATCAGAGTTTAGTAAAGGCTCAACTCAAAGTTGAGTATTTTTCCCCTGTAAGTGTAAATATGCTGCTGCATGTAAATATTTTGTCAAAGTACTGTTTCTAAGTAACAAAATGTTGGCATAACTTCATCTCTTCATTTTAATAGCTCTCCTTGCTGCATTTGTAAGTAGATGATGTATGTTTTTTCAGATTCACCTGGTATCCCACCCAGTGCTAATGCACATCAACTTTTTCGGGGATTTAGTTTTGTAGCTATTGCATCAGATGATGAAAGCCAAGCAATGCAGACAGTTGGAGTTCATTCAATTGTCCAGGTGAGTGCTTTTGCTGAGAAACTGGCAATAAAGCTGTGTTTCTGTCTCTCAGCACGAGAGAGATTCCACTGTTGTAAAGGGAAGTATCATGACAAAGTCATTACCAATCTTACGCAAGAAAACTGAAGCTCAAATTATTTTAAGCAGGCAAGTTCTCTGAAGATGCTGGCCCTGTTTCATTATTGAGCAGCCATAGGTGTGAGCAGGCGTGGGCATCCACCCTGAAATGAGAAGATTCTATCTTCTGAACTTTAATTATTTTTTTAACCTCTAGGGTATCAGGTCATAGTTACTAAGGTGAGGATAAAACAACAGGTACTTTGATCATTTTCTCTTATGCAAGAATATATTTGCTGTTTTCTATAATGTAGGTAAGAAACACTGGAATGCAATTGTAGATTAGTATATCTGGTGTTTTGGACTGCTTTGTATTTTACAATCTATGAAGGATGAATATAGTCAGCCCTTCAGAAGCCACATTAAGTGAATGTGTTAATCTGTGGTATTTCTTGACTATTGCTATTTCAGTGTATCACAGGAATGCAGTGTTGTAGTATAGGCACAAGCTGTGGCTTCTTAGCAGTACTAGGGTGGGCTGCAGTACAGTCTCCTCCATTAACAATTGTGAGTTTGTTGCTTTTGAAAGCCTAAAGTGGCTGCTATTCTTGCATATTCATACTGTCAGTGCGGCTTATTTTTGGACAACAAAGCTTTAGTTGCGTACAGGCGTCTCTGAAACGAGGAAGGATGACCTTGAGCTGCAATGGAGGAGAGGCAAAGCTAGCATGAGGAGAGGCATGTTTTGCCTCCTCAAGCAACTGAGGTCATTTTGAAAACTTGCTTTGGTGCTGGAGAATGTTACCTAAAGGAAAAAAGCAAACCTGTCTACAGAAAAGGAAAATGAAAGACCTCAGTAAAAAATTTATTTCCGCCTCCTGTTTCTGCTTTTAATAATTCTAATTACTCAGGAAAATTCATTATGTGGTGTACAGATAGGAATGAAAATGATATCCTGTAAGACTGGGTTTGTTTGTTTTCGTTGTAAGAATACTTGCAAATGTCTATGAAAGTTAATTCTTGAAAATCTGTTTAGAATATGAATAGCTCTTGTATTTCTTGCCTAATCCTTTTACTATGCCAAGTAGTAAATAGGCATAATATGCTTATTTGTTCACCCCCTATTTCTCTTCTTAGAAACTGTTGAATTTTAAGGGTGCTTTTTTGTTTCAAAGAAGCTCTCTGATTTGGTATATTCATCAGAATGATTTCTGCTAGCAGTTTGTACAAGCTCTGCTGTGCTCCACCTTTCCTTTCAGTTTTGTGGTTGAATTTTCTTTCTCTTTGTGTATGGTTTCCTTCTCTTGAAAAAGTCTCCATTTCTCTAGTGCCTTTCCTCCGTGCCCCTCAACCACTTCCTCACTACAGTTTCCTCTTTTCTCTTCTGCAGGATACCCAGCTGGTTTCCTGCAAATGCTTTGCATCCTTTGCACAAACTCCAACTGTTCCCTTACACCAAAACACCATTTCCTTCCCATGCAGGAGTCAACACTTCCTCCTCTTTCTGCTTTTTATTTCTCTGAAGGGTTTTTCAATTCCTGCTCCTGTGGATACTTTTAAGTTTCCAGTTATTCTGATTACATTCACTATGTGAATTTCCCAACTAGTATTTAACATACATGCAAAGACATAGATTTGACCATTCATCTATGTGGATACTAGGAACAGTGGTGCTTTGCTAACATTAACTGTAGTCTTCTGGTCTTCTCTCTCTTGGACCTTCTATCTTAAACTAACAAATGAGTCACACTGTCAGTTTCTAAAATAAAGCATGCATTATTTACAATCTGTCTGATACATAATTTACCTTGTGCTAAGGTGGTGGCCTGTTGAAAACAATTTGACCTAGTACAGTTGAAAATCAGAGGAAAATCAGTAGAAACTGGGTAATTTATTCCTAATATAAAAGTGAGCAACATGTTTTAGAATATTCATCAATTGATAATGTTATTTTGGTAGCAGTTGCACAGGAACAGCATTCAATTTACTGATGGATATGAAGTGAAGGAAGATATCGGAGTTGGGTCTTACTCTGTTTGCAAGAGATGTATTCATAAAGCTTCAAACATGGAATATGCTGTAAAGGTAACTACTTTGTTTTAAAACAATGTGTGTTTTGGGGGATTTAACGTCATAGTCTTCAATCATTTTTAATATGCTGTAAGGAACATAGCAAACAAAATAATTTTATTAAAATGAAAATAGTAAAATTCTCATTGATATTCAAAATATTTAAGCAAACAATATTCACTGGCAAATATTAATGTAGCATTACAATAGTTTTGTTATCACAAAGGGGTGGTGAAAAGCAGTCATCAGTCTCTGAAACACCTCTGTAATTCCTGTAAGCATGGAAGTTACATGACTGCTTCTAGAAGGAAATGAAAAGCATGTATTGCTTTCCATCATTTTTAAAAATTGGAATTGATTATTTAAACTTTTTCTTTTTGCTTCCAAAATAGTTTCACAGATTGTAATATACACATTCCTTACAGTACTCGTCTAGTTCGTCTTCCAGAATAAACTTCAACTCTGTTTGCCTTTGCTTGTTATTTTTTAACAAGATTTCTAATGTTATTTCAGTTTTATTTTGTTGGGCTTTTTAATTCTTCTTTGAAAGCATTTAATTCTTACAGAAATCAGTGCAGTTCGCAAAACTGAAATAAGGTTGTTGAGGTTTTTTTTTGTTGTTTTGTTTTTGTTTTTTATTGTCTTTACATGAAGAATTGTGGAGCTGGATACTTGCTTAGAAACCAGATATATAGGTTAGCAGATTTAAAATCCTTTTCTGTTTCTTTTAATACGCTGTTATTGAAGCAGGCTCTTTACAGTTGTTGAATAACATAAATTATGTTTTGCTGTATCCTTCACATAGATTACCTGCTGGAAACAGCTCCAGTTTCAATGTGGTGCTTGCTTTCTTTACTTTTTCTAGTTCTGGACAGATTTGACTGTTTTGTTTTCACAATTTGGAATAATTGCTTGAAACTTTCTTTGAAAAAAAAAGAATTTGCTCTTTCTCTGGACCTTGACAGTTAAGACTGCACTTCTTTCTCTTATGGCTGTTTTATGCTGCCTCTTTTGTGGCTTCTCAAGAAATTATAAGGAAAGCCTGAGACAAGTGTGTCTAGCATCCAGTGTGCTAGGATGATGCTGATAGCATTCAGGGCTTTAAGAAGTCAGAGGAAGAAGGGGTAAGGTAGAGATGGAAAAGATAGTAGAGGAAATTCTGCAGTCCAGAGAAAGAAAAATAGAAGCAGTGTTGCCTTTATTTGCAGATAGCACAAGTGTAGCAGCCACCTAGTTACATTAAGCTTATGAGATATAATCCTTTTAAATTGGGCAAAATAGTGTTGTGTTTTGTTGACATGGGGAGATCTTCAGAGCCTCATAGCAATTCTCAGAGATTCAAATGAACTTTACAGAAAAGGATGTTTATCTGAGTTAACTATAGATTATTTTTGCTTTTTCTAATTTTGGACTCCTGTGCTGCCTTTCTTGTTTTTTTGCTGCACTAAATGTTTGCTTGTTTGGGATTACCTTTGTGCACATTCAGTCCATTAGCATTATCAAACCACTATCCCATGTCAAGTTGAGAACTTTCTGTTTTATGAAATGATAGATGACTGAAGTCTTACTACCAAGCTTGCATCATTTTTCCCAATCTGGCGAATCCATTTATCCACCAAAACTCTTTTGAACTGTTTGAGCTGAGAGATTCTGTGTGTTTTTTCCCCATTCTTTGCTTATGTTGCTGTTCGGTCAGCAAACTTGCCCTCATTTATAATCCGTGCTGTTGGCCAACGGTGGTAAATACTGATTGTAAGCTCATAGTAATAAGCACCCTGACGTATTGCACTGTTAATGTTCCGAAAATGAAGCTGCATGTCTATTTGGTCTTGCAGATCATTGACAAGAGTAAAAGAGACCCAACAGAGGAAATCGAAATCCTACTGCGCTATGGGCAGCATCCGAATATTATTACCCTAAAAGATGTGAGTAGAGTGATAGACACCTGTTAGTGCCTTATAGTTGCATATCACTTCTTAACCTGGAAGATTACGAATTACATGTCACAGATGTTCCATTAAGGAATTGAAAACAGTATATTTTAGCTTATTTCTACTCAAGAGTGTTTTTTTAGAAAAAAAATATGGAAATATGCCCAGTGCAAAAAAAAATCTGGTTTTCATATGTGTTAAAAACTTGTATGGTATCCACTACAGCAGGAACAAAATATTGTTTTAAGTAAGTTTTCACTGTTGGTCCTTGCATTTTCCACAGTATGTTGCTACTTTATTACAACTTTCAAAAAAAAAAAAAATGAGCATGGGACATTTGGACCTCAATCTCATTGAGAGCATGAGGCGCTATTACAAAGATTTCACTTAGTGATGATTTGACTCACTTTTCATTCAGTTCTAGGACCAAAATTTAATTGTTTTTATTTTGAAATGCGAATGTATAATGTTTCAGCATTTCTCAGAGCTTGTGTTGGGAAATGCGTCTTGTGCAAGAAATAATTATTTTCTTACTTTCCTTGTAGCTTCAGAGTAAGTGCAGTAAAATTTGACTCGGTGGAAACTTTTGTTCTGACTTAGCTTTGTTAATGTAATTAACTGTGAAGCTATTTGTATTGAAACAGTGGTTATTAACACCAATTTTTATTCTGCAATACAAGATCATATGTTTTTGTTTTGTTTTTTTCTTACGGTCTCTTTTGGTTACATAGCCTTAAAGCAGAAGGAGGAGCTACAGTGTGCTAAATCAGATGTTCTTATCCAATATCCTGCCCCTGACACTGGTCAGTAATGAATGCCTAGGAAACAGTGTAAGGACTGAGGAGGCACACCGCTTCCAACAACCATTGGCTAGGAACTTCCTATGCCAGACAGCTATATGTATTTTACTTTTTTCTTAACCTGTCATTAGTAACTCTTCTTTACAAAAAGTTTTATGCTGTTTTGAATCAAGTTACTTAAAGCATTGGATGAAGAATCTTTTCAGCTTTTTAAAAATCTGATTGCTTATATCAAACCAGTTTTCCTGTCCAAGTATTTATAATTTCAAAATCTTCCTAATACATTTATATGAAATACAGTTTTACTTTATAAAAGTGATGACTCCATTAGATTATATTTTGTTCATGTTTTCATCATGATCAGATTTTTTGCTATAGCTCCTTCCTGTTTGCCTGGTAGAACTGATGCGCTAACTGATCTTTCGCAGACCTTGGGACCTCCTAGGGGTTTAAAAGCTGGTGTCACATTTACCATTTCAGCATAATACTGTGCATTTAACTGTCAAAGGAATTTCAATATCATTTATTCAGTACAAACACTTCCTGAGATTAGACAGTTATGTTGATGGTGCCATTAGATTGTGAAGGGGTGGGGAGGGTAGGGGAGCTTTTTGGTGGGTTGTTTTTTTTCCAGCCAGACACAACAAGCAAGAGGGTAGCAGATAAAATAGCATCTGAATCCAGGTTTTATTTTGTCCCCTTGTATTGCTTGAATGTGTGTACTTCATAGTGTCAGGATGAATTATGGTTCTTTCTTTCTGTTTCACCAGGGTTTAGGCATATATATAAAAAAGCCTTTATTCTAAAATGCGGTTTTTGTATCTAGAATTATGAAATTCTGCTTTTTAATACTGCACAGTATTTAAAGTAATAATACAAATGCAAATGATCTTCAATCGTTTATACCTCATGAGAAAAAACATTCTCATTGTTAAATGAGAACGCATAAACCTGTCATGTCTCCCCCTCCTTAAGAACATAAGCTTATAAAGTCTGCTGAATTACTAAACACTTTTCCTCTTTTCTTTGTATGTGAGAAAATTATTCTTTTAGTATATGTAAAAGCACACAAACTTCTAACCTTAGAAAATCTTGGTTTTCAAACTGAAGGAAATTTTAGTATTCAAAGTTTTTAGTAGCCTGCTTTTGCCAGACGGTTTAAGAGGAGGAAATTGGAGTAACCTTTTCTTAAAGTAATTATCTATTTCTAAATTCATTTTACTACATGATGGACAACTGCTTCTGTTTAAATACAAACTAGTTATTACACTTGTTAAGCAAAAGACGTTAATTGTGAAGAAGCATGTATTGAAATAACAGAGAACAGTCTGTAAAAGGTTTTCTAAAGCAGACACCAATTTTTGAGTTAAATTCAATTTAAAGTCCCAAGGAAATGCAACTGAAATTAAATGCTTAAGTGTTCAATTAAAATGTTTCTGAATAGCTTATAGTCTGTAGTGCCCCCTGATGACAGCTCAAATAATTTTACAAAATTACAGAAGACTTGGGGCTGGAGAGGACCACTGGAGATCCTCCATCCCACCTAGAGGCCTCTGCAGGTTTCCCAGGACCATGTGTAGTCACGTTTTGAATATTTCTGAGGACAGAGCCTCCACAACCCCTCTGGGCAACCTGTGCGAGTGCTCCATCACTCTGACAGAGAAGAAACATTTTCTTATGATCAGCCAGGGCTTCCTGTGCTTCAGTTCGTGCCCGCTGCCTCTTACCCTGTCCCTGGGCAGCACTCAGAAGAGTCTGGCCCTGTCCTGTTGACAGCCTCCCCTCAGGTATGGACACAAGCTGATAATATCCATATCCCCCCCTCCTCTCCAGGCAGAGCAGCCCCAGCGCTCGCAGCCTGTGTTGGCATCACAGCTGCTCCAGTCCCTCAATAACCTTAGCAGCCCTTGGCTGGACTCGCTGCGGTAGCTCCATGTCTCTCTAGCAGTAGGAAGCCCAGATGTGGGCTTCCCAGGGCTGGGTTAGAGGGGAAGACTCCCCTTCCTCAACCTGCTGGTAAAAATGTAATGCAGCCCGGGACACCCTTGGCCTTCTTTGCTATCTTTGCTACCATGGTCAACTCCAGCAGGACCCCCAGGTTCTTCTCCACAAAGCTGCTTTCCAACAGTTGGTCCCCAACATGTGGTGATGCTGTGGTGGGGGGTTCCCTCCCCATGTGCAGGACTTGACACTTGCCCTTGCTGAGCTTCGTTACCTTCCTGCCTGCCCATTTTGTTTCCTGAGAAGATAAAAGTCATATGAAACTTTCACAGTTTTCCAAAATTAAAAATATAGGTGTAAGAGTATACATTGATTTTTGGAGTTTGGAATAGGCATCATGTGTGGAGTAACATTCAAGTCATAGTAACTTTTTATGAATGAACTTCCATGTTCACAGAGATATTATTTGAGGTGAACTTGAATTTTTTTTTCTAGTATATGACTATTCACTTGCAATAATCCATGTTCATGTTTGTAATTTGATGCAATAATTGCTTCTAGAATTTACTTTAATTATGCTTTAACTAGAATAGTCTCCATTCTAATGTCTCCCATGCATCGTTGAATTTGTTTCAGTAAAGCTGTTTGGAGAAACCTACGTATTATTCATCCTTTTTTGTCCTTAAACATTTGCTGATGGTATTTTTGTGTTAGTTCATTACTGTACCTAATACTTCTTTTGTAGCAAGTACTGTGTTTGAAGATGAATATATGTGGGAAGAGGAGATATGGGAAAAGTCGTTATAGTTGATCAACTAATCAAAACAGCTTGCAGATTCACCTTAAAAAAGAGACCACATTATAAAGAGAATAAATATTTTTGTGTGTTTACATTTTTTTTGCAGGTGTATGATGATGGAAAATATGTATATGTAGTAACGGAACTTATGAAAGGAGGAGAACTGCTGGATAAAATTCTTAGGCAAAAGTTTTTCTCCGAGCGGGAAGCTAGTGCTGTCTTGTTCACAATAACAAAAACTGTTGAGTACCTCCATACACAAGGGGTAAGTGTGTTGGCCAAAGAGAACAAAATGGCTAGTACTCTTTCAGATACATAAACCTGCACCTTCGTGCTCTTCTGAGCAGTAGCTAAGTAATTTCTGGTGAATAATTACATTGCAAAAGAAAGGTTTTGCTGAAACCTTGTGGATTCTGTACCTGTCGAAGTAGCATAGATGACATCACCATTTCTCTTGTCCTACATGCCCCTGTAGGCAGTGCTGGGGAACATGCAGCTAATGGCTGTGATAGAGAAGACATGGGAGGGTGTAAGCCAGGAAGAGCTGCAGGGACAAGCACCGCTGTGTAGTCATGGGCCTGATGTGCTCCCAGCCCCAGTTTGTGATGGGCCCTCAAAATCTGTTGTTTTATACCTACCACTCCTATACCCACTTCCTCCTCCTGATTCTGAAGAATGTAATTTTTGTCATTTAAGTCCTGCGCCATGGAGTCAGGAATATATATACTGGACTGTAGTGGACTGTTAGAAATATATAAATATATATTAGTGCTTCAGAAACCTAACCTGGAGACGGATAAAGTAATTCAGAGATGGTAGAGAAGGCAAGTTGGCAATCACATTCACATAGCAAGAATGACAAATCCTGTAGCATTTTTAAGTAAATTAGAAAATGGATAGAGAAGGGGCAGAAAGTAATGGGGCAAGTAAAAAGTTGCTACAAATGTTACTATCTGAGAGAAAAGAAGCTTTAGAATAAATAATACTCAATTATGGTAAGAAACGTAACACTAATTCAGCAAACCATGTCCTTCTGGGAGCTGATATTTCAGAAAATTGAAATTGTCCGGTGTACCTTCCTGTGAAGTGCATCACTTTGTTCAAGCACTTACTTATTTATGTGTATAGTCCTTTATTTGAACCTGTGTGCTCAGAGCCGGAATCTTTGGCCAGCAGTCTTGGTGGGAATTATGAACAAACCTTGAAACCTTGTGTGCAGAAGCATAAGTAAAAGCCCCATTCTCTTCGAACCTTTGGCTGCAAAAGACCAAGTGCCCTACATGTCAAGTAGGAGATTTTAGGTGTGTTGGGAAGGGCTTGGGAAAGTATTTCTTTTTAGAGTTTTAGATCCTTATCTATAGACCCGGCATTTTAATATTGGCATTTTAATTTGCATTAGGTTGTGTACTTTCTGAAGCTTCTTATGGGTTTCATTTTCAGAAGGTTTCCTGTTTCCTTGTGTTAAGTGCCATTCTGTGTGAAGGATTGCAATATGTAAAATATAATTACCACTAGAAGTGTGGCAAGGTCCTCATTTCCAAGACTTTCAAGTATCTATTTTGTTAAGTCTGGTACATGCAAAGTATTTGCATAGTGGGAAAAGCCCCTTCTAAGTAGCTTACTCTAATACTGGAGATCCAGCTAGCCTTTTATTTCTAGGTCTCATCATGCTACTTGTGTTCCAGCACAGCAGCTTTTCTGGAAGGGGATGTAGATCATCTGATTCTGCTCATAACTTAACTCTGGGGAGGTTTGGGAGATCTTGTTCCAATGTGATTAAATTGGTGAAATACTTCACCACAGTCTTTTTGAAGACCAAATAAATCTTACAAATCTTCCATCATAAAAATCTGCATTTAGTAGTAATCAAATTATATAGGACAATTACAAAGATAAAGATCTTCATAGTAGGTCTATTTAAATCTTCAGTAAAGATAGTTTAAATCCATTATGCTCTGTACAGCAATACTCTTTACACATTGCAGTTTTTATTAAGGTTAGTTTTAACGTATTTTCAAATAAGACCAAGTTCATTCTGCCAGAACGCTAGTAACTTCTGTGTTTTTTCTCAAGCATTTTACAACTCAGACTCCTGCAAAACAGACACTCGGGAGCTCATACTAGCTTTTATTAAATGGAAGTCCATTAGAAGAATATATCCCTGATACTTCTTTTATGAAATGCTAGTCCATTAGAGGAATATATCCTTGATATTATTATTTTTTGGCACAGCTGTATTAAAGTTCCTCCTTAGCTAAGCTTGAAATGTTTGCATTGAAATCAGTTTAGATTATGTGGAGGAATGGAAGGGAATGCAGGAAGATACTCCAGCAGGAACCGGAGTTACGTGGTTACATGGTCTAGCAGCACCTATGGACATCCATACCTCCAGCAAGCATTGCTAGCACAGGATTCTGGTCTAAAGAGCCTTCTAGTTATGCATGCTAAAAATAGGAGGAAAAAATGTATTTTTGTGCAGATACACATACATACATGTACACCCATAGGAACAAAACATCTTGAAACCCTATTGTACAAGTAAATGCCCATTTTTTAAAATCAGAGTTTCCGCTTTAGACTTATGATCCTCTGGGTAGCGCTAAGTGTTAGAATCCCGCAGTTGAGATTAGAAACTGGAAATCTGGAAATTTGATTGCTGGTCGGACTTCCGCAGCAAATAGGGGAATAGATACTTAAAACAGAAATCCTTTTCCTATGTTTAGCTTATCATGTTTAGGGGTGTGTTTTATTTAATTTTTTAGGTTGTTCACAGAGACCTGAAACCTAGCAATATTCTTTATGTGGATGAATCTGGTAATCCAGAATCGATTCGAATTTGTGATTTTGGCTTTGCAAAACAACTGCGAGCAGAAAATGGTCTTCTGATGACTCCATGTTATACAGCAAATTTTGTTGCACCAGAGGTAAATACAAGACTAACTTAAATGCCTTGATTGTTCTTTTTAACTAGCTGAATGTTTTTCATTTATGTTTAAAGAGTGCAATTACTTTAGAAATAACAAATATTTGAGGTATCACCATTTTTATGGCATAATTGGTGCATCCCAAAATGTATTTTAAAGAAAAGTATTTCTTCAGGTTTTAAAGAGGCAAGGTTATGATGCTGCATGTGACATATGGAGCCTCGGTGTTCTACTTTATACCATGCTTACTGGGTAAGAATACTTTTCACTTATTTTTGCTTGCTTTAGCATACCAAACCTGGGTAAACAGAAAGAGTAATAATGGTAGGTCCACTCCTGAAGATGTTCTACTTGAGGCACTAATTAATCTGAAATTCAACTGGCTTCTTTGAGAGTATGAGTTGAATGTGCTTTGGCGTTAGAAGAATCCAAGTTTGCAGAGCCTGATACAAAGAACTTTTAGGTTCTCATATCTCAATTTAGGTGTCTAGTTTCTGCTTCATGATGATTTAGGAGTAAGGATTGTTTCATGTGAAAAGCAGCTGATTAAGAAGCATATATGTTGAGGGAAATATATGTAGCATGTTTCAAAGCATGTTTGTATGCAAGTCACCCTTTGGATCGTTTGGAGGGACACAGGATCTAATAAACACAATAGAAGACATTTATTATATGCAGCAAAAGGTTTTTTATAAAATATGATTAACAAGTTCAGTAGCAGTTCCAGAAGTTCAAAAGTAGTTTTTATTTCATCTGATAAAGATATTATCTTTAGGCTTACTTAACTTCAACTTAAATAGGATGCCAAAATGTCGCTGATGATTACTCTTCATCAAAGCCAGCAAACAGATTAGTTGAAAAAAATGTATATAAAAACATGTATATATTGTTTATATATATTATGTTATGTATGTATATATCTTGCTTTTGTTTGGTTCTGTTTCATTAGGAGCAAGAATGGTCATAGTGAAGCAAGTAAAATTGCTGCACCTTGCTTCTGCTAGTATCAAATCAGTCCGTATTCTTTTTCAGATTAGTTATAAAATCTTCACATTTTATTTTATAACTGTTTTATTATTTCACTAAGATACCAAAGCTTAAGGATTCCTTTTCGTAATTCAGAACTACCAATACTTAAACTGGGTATAGAAAAAAAAAAAACATTTTTTTTAGAACTAGTGTATGAGGAATACAGTAAGAACAGATCTTTAGTTATAGCATTCATTTTCACCTCCTAGGAATAATTTCTTTTAGCTGCTAATTTGACTACAGCTAGTGGCATGTAAATAACTATGTGTTACCTATAGCTTTGTTGAACTTGCTGAATATAGTGATGAAGTTTATAATAACAGTTAAGGTCCAGATTATGGAACTTAACATTGAAATTTTTTGGTTAATTAGCTACACTCCTTTTGCAAATGGCCCCGATGATACCCCAGAGGAGATTTTGGCCCGAATAGGGAGTGGAAAGTTCTCTCTCAGCGGTGGTTATTGGAATACAGTTTCAGAAACAGCTAAGGCAAGTATATTCATTTTGTTCTTTGAGGGACTAGAAATGGACTTTAATGTGACATGTTGCTTATGCTCTAAATATCCTATCTTACATAATTCGGTAAATTTTACCCAGAGTTATTTTAAAACACTGAATTGATCCCTTTTAATGCCTAAAAGATCATTTCCTAATTATTATCCCTTCATGATTCAGTGGTCGGTCAGTAGGAAATCAGTAGAAAGAGAAATGTTACATACGTAACATACTACCTTTCATATGTATGCAAGCGCATATATATGTATTTTTTATATATATATAATATAGCACTACTAAAATTTTCAGCATTAAATAGTTTTAAAGCTGATGTTAACAATAAAGCTTAAGGGCTTTTATTACCTGAGCTGACTCCTTACGTGTTATTAACAGGACCTCGTTTCAAAAATGCTTCACGTTGACCCACATCAAAGACTGACTGCAGCCCAAGTGCTTAGTCACACCTGGATAGTTCACTGTGACCAGTTGCCTCAATACCAGCTGAACAGGCAGGATGCTCCCCACTTGGTAAAGGTAAGTAGATTTATTTATTTTTTCAGTTTGCTGTTTAGCCAAAATTGGTTTAAACAGATGTACAGAAAAGCAGTTTCTATAGGATGTGTTTCCTCTAAATGTTATTTAAAGGTTATGACTGGGAGTCATTAAGCCATGAAGCGTACTTGCTGTATATAATAGGATTTCATATGAACCCATTTGTGTGAAAAATGTCTAATACATTTGAAAAAGACTTGGATTTTCTTAACTTTGAAAGCTGTTGGACATACTTAAACTGGGAGGGTTGATTTTCTAAGAAACCGAGATAAAATAAAACATGCTTCCGGCAGTGGAAGTGTTGTCAAGTGACTACGGGGGAGGAGAAACTGCAGCTTAAGCTATTTTTACAGTTTTAGTGACAGGTTAATTAGGTGTCAGTGACTAAATGAAAATAGAATGCTTCATGATCACAGTAGAAGCTAAAAAGAAGTAGAAGAGGCAATATTAATTAATATGGTATTGTAATGTTCGGCACTCCACACAACCTGGTTTTGACTCCAACGCACTTTTTTACTTTGAGCAACCACAGAAATCAAAAAATAGTTGGATTCTTCTCCTTCGTTGCCTACAAAAGGCCTCTTGAGAGTGTAATTAAGCTGAGTCAGCTATTACAAATTCTAGAGGCCAAAAGCACAAGAAAGAAGAGGAACAAGTTCCAATTCTACAACTTGCAATTTTCTAAGTTTTTTTTACGAAATATTTGTGTCGCTGAATAATGTGGGCAACTCTGGAATATTTTGCTGAAAACTGAAATGGATACATAAATTATACTCTAAAGCATTCACATGTAACACTGCAGTTATTTGAGTAATGTGTCTGTTCTGTAGATGAAAACGCGTGGAAGTTGAAACCTGTTCAGTATCTCTGTCATGCGATGTTGGGTGATCTCTAGTTATGATACATTCTTGTTTTCTCCTCCGGTTTTCTTGCACCAGGGTGCAATGGCAGCAACCTACTCTGCTTTGAATCGCAATCAGTCACCGGTTCTGGAGCCAGTCGGCCGTTCCACTCTTGCTCAGAGGAGAGGTATAAAAAAAATTACCTCAACAGCCCTGTGAAGTGACCTCAGCCAGATATTTGGTACCATGGCATAAGATGATAGCACAAATCATGGCGACAGGTAGCACATATCTGACAGATACCTGCAAGCACACTCTGTCCCAGCTGGTACCTATAATGCTGCTGCTCCTGCTGCTGCTACTGCTTTCATCTATTCTCGCTTTAAACTGTTGATGGCAACTTACTGATCTGACTGGAGCTGCAGGCGGAGTGATGATGAGTGGAAACACAATGAAACTATCGCGTTCACGAGCGAATAAACCAGAAGAATTACGAACACCACCTCTGTCAAAAATACACTGAATAAAGCACTCTGCACCACATAGCATTATTTTTATAAGGAATATTTTTTGTCCCCTAAGATATTCTTTGTTACAGGTAGAGATGGACAGTTTATGTTAAGCACTTAGCTTAAACAATCTGTTTATATTAGCACTATATACTTTGTGCCATCCAACATTTTGTATGTTTTTGTAAACAGTTCATAAGCAGTACATTTCTGTGCTGTTTTCTTTAATGTATACATGCCTTGTTTTACTTAGATTTTATTAATCATTTTGACAATTAAGTCTGATTAAACCGTTCACCTGGGTTAATCAGTATTGTTGGACAGCTCTAAAAGAAGCCTGACTGTTAAACAGCTATTGAATGTAATACTATGAATATGTATTTCTCCTTGCCTGTGTCTTTTCTACATTTCCATGTTTTTGAATTTGCATGTCAGGTTATGAAAATCAGAATACTGTTTGTAGTATTCAAAATTTAAACAGTGGGTCTCTCCATACTACATATACATAGATAATATAACCCAAAGGAAAAATAATTTGCTCCATATCTCACTGTCTTTTGCCCCTTCTCTCTTCCCTTTTATTCTCTCCCATCTAATCTCTGGACTCAGGAATCACTGCTAAGTACTGTCTGATAGAGGACATTTCTGTATTGTTTATTCTTATATAATCCATTGTTAATATTTTATCTTTGTTCTGACTTTTATTGTATGCTGCGAAGGATTTGTTCAGTGAATGTTGGCATAATAGAAGAAAGGCAGTGTTGAAGATAAAGCAAAACATAATGTCCAGTAATAAGCAGAAGCTAGAAAAAAATATAGGTTTAAGCTAAATTCACTGTGACTGCCAAACTGATTAAGCTGATGTTCAGTCTGTTATTGTCTGGTACTTGTAGTTAACAGCCAAAGCAAAATGAGAGCAGAATCATTCAGGTCTATCTCAGGTGGGGAATTGTCATTATAATTAAACATGAAAATAGTATTGTCGAGGTGAGGTCAAAACGAAACTGTTCAGAGTCGGTGTTGGTGCTTTTCCCTAGGTAGAAGCAAACTTGTAATGAGCGTGAAAGACTCATGGTTCAAATGCAGGTGCTGGCCTTTAATAATCCTGGCCTCCTGGTGTCTTCAGTAGCCAGGGGTGTGTGTCTGGCCTTGAAAGCTCCATCGCCCAGCTGAGGTGATGTACTGCGGTGTGTTTGAATGGAGCGAGGCTCACATTGCACCAAATAACTTGCTGCATCAACTCACTCCAGCTAAGAAAGGGGCCAAATTCCAACTCTAATACATCCAGATCTGGCTGAACAGCTCTTTGTGAACAGCAACATTTAAAAATCAAAAGATAGGGGCAAGTTAGTATTTTGTGAAAGGTGGGGGTTTTTTTGATTCGTGGTATTAAATTTCTCTTATTTCAGGGAGACCAAAAATTAACTGCAGATTTGTTGGAAAAGAGAATCATTTTTATGATACCGAGTTGTTCTGTATCCTCCATAACGTGCCCCGATGCCGATCTCAATTTGGCAAAAAATAGCTACTGGACTCGCCAGATCAAGTCACAGTACTTCATCAGACCTGATAGTAGAGGCTTGTTTTTACATGTACAGTCTTTATACCTTTTTATAGAAAGGGAATAATTTTTATAACAAGGATTCTTAAATTACCATAACCTCAAAATTTGAACACACAACAGTTCGGAGCAATTGGCGTGCAAGGTTCTCCCCTTCCTTGGTGCTCTAGCATTGAAGAAAGTCCCTTCAGCGAGACAAGTGCACCTGTCCTGTCTTTAAGAAACATCTTTAATTAAAGGCAGGAAAAGGCCTTAGTTTTTTTCCCTCTGAAAATGACTTCCAGTGGGATTTAGTAAAACCTTGCCTTTCAAAAACATAAAAATAAAAAGCATTTTCAACTCTATAAATGATTGCAAGTCAGATTCAAGAAACCATTCCTTGTTGAGTTGCTTTTAAATGTATTTATCTGAAGACTGTTGTATCAAATCCACAAATAAGGTTTAAGACTAGTACTGTTGAGGTAAAAGGGTTAAAAGGATGCCTGTGCTTGCAAGTATATTCATAATGGCATTTCAGATCAGCAAGAAATTTCTACCACATTCTGAGAGCATATACACACACACACACATATATATATATATATATATATGTGCTTGGCATAGAACAGACTAAAGGCAGGAAGCATTATGACATTTCTCTATTGGCAATGTGTGCTAAAATAATTAAAAGTACTTTCAGTAGTTTAATTTTAGTCATATTTTGCAACCCTCTATCTTACTGGTCTTTAGCCAAATAGCCAAAGTTAATCCCTACTTTTAAATGTATCTACATTCTCAAGCAAGCTGTTACTTTAGACCAGACCTTAAAGGTGTTGCTACTATGCAATATACATAGCGGCATAGGATGAACACCTTAAATGCTAGTCAGAACATGGCAGTTAGCAAGTGATAAAATGAATGTACTATGGTCTAGATCCACAGTATTTTGATTTTCTGAACAAGTGCATAAAGGGTGGATCTATGCAGGTAGTATGTTTTACAGGCTAGACTTAGTGGCTTTAATACACCTTACCTCTCCTCTTGGATGTGTGTTCACAACTGTCACGTTTATTTGTGTCATGTATCTGTTGCTGCCATTGTTAAGAAGCTGTAAAGAAATCCACACCATGCTGCTTTGGCAAATCCCAGCACCTTTGAGAACATACGACCCACTGTGTAAATTTCTGTTGCTGGACTGCATCTTGGTCTGCAAAGTGTAGCAAATGACTCTAGGATAGAGTCATGGAGGGGGGGAAAAAAGAGCTGCAGATACAGGTGAATTCTCTATATAGACCATGGTTTATTTTTCAGTCTACAATTATCATGTACTGTGTTTAACAGCAGGAGAGAACAGAGTGGCTACAATACTCATTAAATGACATCAGTATCTAGTAAGGGCAAAGTTCTTTATTCATATCACTGTAATGCTGAACAAAACTTGGAAGGAATTTTTCAAGAGAAGGATTTAAAACTTTTTTGGGGGGAGGGAGAGTCAAGAGCATAAGAAAAATTATATATGAGTCTGGGGATTTTCTCTGTGTTTTGCTTTTATAATGTAATGCACCAACTAAAGCTCTGCTTTTCTATCATTGTAAGGAAAGGATTCAAGGTATGCTGGTCCTTGGTAAGCAGCACCGGTTAACAGATGAATTTTCACATATAAAAATGATGTAAATGATTAGCTTTATCTTGATACTCTTGACCTAATCAAAGGGACGTTGTACTTATGAGGGATGTAATTATTTTGCAACCTAGTTGGGAGGGAGGGGGGGAAGTTACTTTAAAAGCATTTTTAAAAAAAAAAGACAAAATCACAGATAAAATATTTTTCTACAATTCTATACAATCATACTTTATACTAGTTTTCTCAGCATGGCATGTGAGTGAGCCTAAGGTACTGTTCCAGGAAATCGGTGAGTATTGTACCTTATTCTAGACCATTACAATGGCATCTGTTAGATGCTTGGCACTGCTGTCATAGAACTGAAATGCTAGTAAAAAAAAATGTACTGAATACTTTAAATGATTGTTTTATTTGGAGTCCGATCTAGGGAATGTTCCAATCATGTTATTAATGTGTAACTAGAGCTGTTCTAGCTATAATGATGAGCAGTTCGGGAAAGGTATCGTTGCTTGTACCCCTGTCTAACGGCAGGTTTTGTAGTCTTCAAAAGAAGTTGAAATTTCTACAATGAATAAACTTTCAAACATCTTAAGTGTGTTCTGTTGGATAATCACGTGTGCCGCCCAGGTATACAGATGGTTGTGTGTTCCTAACTAGGACTGACTTACATTCGCAGCATACCACAAGTGTGCATTTCTGACCAGGAATTTCTCGGTTAAGGTCGTGTTTGTAGGTTAAAATACATTACTGCATATTTGAGCAGGCTGCTTTTTATTACTAAGATAGTGGGGAGCTGAAGGGATAACACTCATACTCAATATATAAACCTGGTATATTGGAATCAGTAGGATCACATAAATGCAAGGCAGTTGCATTTTAATGTCGCATAAAGACCCCAGTATGCTGTAAAGCGCACCTTGTATTTAATGCTGCTGCTAAATAGCACTGGCAATACCCCAGAAATTCATAGTCTCTGTTGCTCTAGTTGTGGAAGGAGGCAGCGCATTTCATGGGTGGGTATCAGGTCTCAGCTAACTAAAAGGGACTGCACAGAACACTAGGACAGACGCACACAAACTCCCTGAGTCCAGGCCAGTGCCTCCTAACACACCAGCCCACGGCACTGCAGTGAGGACAGAGCACCTCTTTTTAGCCCAGCAACCTGGGAATGGTGTTTGAGAGTTGTGATATTTTACAGAAAATGACTGCAACGACGATCACCTCGCAGCCTATATTAACGATTTTCGAGATTTTTCCCTGGGGCTTGGTGCTAACCGCAGTCTCTGGGGGTCACAGATGCGAGACCCGATTTGTTTGGGTTTTTCTTTTTTTTCCCTCCTTTCCTGGAGGGTCCTCCCCTACCCGCGA